TGTTGCAATTCTCAATCGTACTTATTGAACTTCAGGGAGGTGGTAAAGCTCTTGAAAATTCAGACGAGGGTGTTGCAGGATTTTCTAGGAATGTTGTGAAGCCTTCTTTTGAAGCTATAACTCTCACTGGACATGAAATCAAGGATGATCAGATTCAAGATGTTAATTGTGGCAATTCGATAGATTCATTGCATACAGATGTCAAATTGAAAATGGATAAGCAACATGATGTGTCTGGAGGAGCTTTGAACTTCCAGTCTTCTTCACATGTAGATGCTGTAGAGCTGCAGAAATGTAATGATCGCATGGCTGGAAGTTTTAAGGTTATTTCTGGTGCAGAATGCAGTTCGCAATTGGGTGGCCATGTGGCAGAAGAACACAACAGAAGTTCTGAAGCTGCTAGCAATTATCGCCTTGAAAAGGCTGATGAACTATGTAGTAATCCATGTGAGTTTAAACAGGAATGGGACTGGCCTGAAGGTAGCACAGCAATGCATATAAATTCTTTGAAACCCCAAAATGGCTCTGAATTTGCTGCTGAAAAGCCATCAAAGTCAGGTGGAATGGTTTTACACCATCATGTATTACCTGATCAACACAAAACAGTGGTATGTGCTGGAAAATCTTCCCCTGCATCGTCAAATGTTATAGTTTCCAAAGCATCTATATCCAATGACTTAACACCTACAGATCCTGAAAACCTAGAAGGTACAGCCGCCAAACATGAGGCAGTCTCTGGAAGTTGTGGTGGCAGTAGGAAAGAATGTTCTTCAAAAGATGTTGACAGAGATGAAGAAAGGGATAAACTGACTCGGAGAAGAGTTAAAGAGCATCCAAACGAGTGCTCAAATGCTGCTACCAATTCATCATACTCTGTCAGAGACTTGCAAGATCCCGTTTCAAAAAAAACCGCTTTGCATATAAAAGATTCTGTTGTACTCTCAACTGTTAAAACATCTTTGGTACATAATGTACCAGATAGTTCAGGTGACAGTGAGTCCATTGAGTCACATCTCAATCATAAGGGTTTGAATGCACAAAACAAGATTTCAGGCTCATCTTTGCCTCAAAGAGGTGACAAGCCTAACCAGACGAACTTTCATCCTCCATCTAAGGTTAATCAGCGTCACGCAACAACCATGTATCCTCCAACAACTACAAATCCAGCAGCTGCGCTGAGTGATGAAGAGGTTTTTAAATTTTTTTAATTTCTTCATTGAATATGTTAATGGGCGTTTTGATATTACTTTACATATTTATAATTATTTTTACTTCTGGCAGCTTGCCTTCCTTTTACATCAAGAACTCAATAGTTCACCTAGAGTACCTCGTGTACCCCGATTGCGTCACACAGGCAGCTCACCACAGTTGGGTTCGCCAAATGCCACGAGCATGCTAATAAAGCGTACTTCTTCTTCTAGGGGAAGAGACCATGCTTCGGTAAAATATCATATTTCCTTTGTATGAATATGATGTGTACCAATTAGTTCTATTTTGTGATATGCGAATGTGTTGGTTCTAAGAGTTATCTTTATGATATTTGTGGTTATATATTTTATAGGCTTCTAGAATGAAAAACAAGGACACCTCAAGAGATGCATTTCGCAGTTCCCGCGAGCCCGATGATGAAGTTAAAAGAACTGATGAAGTTCTGTCTTCTCCTGATCAGAGAAGGCAAGAGACAAGTAATTCTGCTGATGCATCTAAGAGGGAAGAAAATGGATCTCCAACAAGATTGAATGCTCTTAAGAAAAATGTATTTTCAACTTATGCTACAAATACTGCAAGCAGTGGCCCATCTTCATCAATGGAAGCAAATGATCATAATAATTCATCTATACGGAATTCGCCAAGAAACACGTCTGATGATGACACAGGCATGGTTGGAGAAGGTCCTGTTCATCACACTTTACCTGGTATGTGTATTGTAAACTGAACTGTATATATGAAAATGTTCTGCTCGTTTCATAAAGTTAATTACATTTTATAATTTTGAATATCTTTGTCTCGTATTCTCATTTTATTTCTATGTAGGCTTGATTAATGAGATTATGAGCAAAGGAAGGCGCATGACTTATGAAGAACTATGTAATGCCGTATTGCCAGTATGGTTTCTTCCCTATTTGCTTCTCTGTTGGTGTATTATAGAAGAAATTTCTTTGCTTTTTATTTTTTGGGTGCAATTGCCCACTGTGCTACTTTTCTTTGCAGCACTGGCATAACTTGAGGAAGCACAATGGAGAGCGCTATGCTTATTCAAGTCATTCACAAGCTGTTCTTGATTGTCTAAGAAACCGACATGAGTGGGCTCGATTGGTTGACCGTGGTCCAAAGGTATGATCTGATTTGTCTTCGAGCCATTGCTAGTTGTTGTCTGTAACATTGTTCCAGTAAGAAAATTTTTAAATCCTCTACTTCTATTAATGGGAACAGAATGATGTGGTGACAGAACTATCAACATTAGTACCCATCTGTTAGGATCCCAAATACAAGAACCTAACTATTTCTGCGGATCCAGCCCACCCCTCGACCTGATACAATATAAGTATTCAATTTGAGGAAGAGCAAATTGAAACTTCTTGGCATTAGCCACTAATTGGTTCTGACTTAGGACTTGTAAGACAGTGGTCAAATGGTCCCTGTAATGTTGAAGAGAGGACGATAAATTAAGATATCATAAAAAGAAAATACGAGTGCAAACTTATGAAGGAAAGGTCACAATAAGTCATTCATCAAGGACTGAAAGGTAGAAGGTGCATTTTGTAGGCCTTGATTACACACAGTGTGGGAGGTATGGCAGTCAACTGGCGCAAATTAATTATGCATTCAGAATGGGCTTGATGAAGTTGTATTAGGAGGACTTGGAACTTTCTAGGATTGCCACCTCGTTGAAATTGTGCTCATGGGACAGCCCAGATAATTAAGGATTCTTAATAGAGTTGAAATAGGTGATAATTGAGGTTGAATTGGCTAATGTTGCCTTTTCAAGTGTTGATGATAACATACTGCTCACTATGTGTTATTACAAGAGTTTGAAGTGATATTTATTATTCTGGCTACCTTCTCAATGGAACGAGCCATGGACCATCCTATTTAGCTTATAGAAGATACTCAAACCATCAATGTAGGATCATATCAGTACCCATGTATATAAAAGAACGAGATTGAATAGCTTGTACACAAAGTGTTGTGGCTTATCTGCCCCATAAACTACCCATTTTCTAGTCCTATTATTAGTAAAGAAAAATGATGGAAGTTGGGGATTTTGCATCGACTACCATGTGCTTAATTTTGCCATGATACGAAATTAAGTTCCCAACTCCTGTTCTAGAGGAATTTTTAGATGAGTTACATGATTCAAATGTTTTTTCTAATATTGATCTCAAATTGGGATACCCCAGTTTTGTATGTTTAAAGATATAATCCTAAAACAACATTTCAGAACCATAGCCTGATGCAATTGGAGATAAATTCTAAGATGTTGAACATTAAGTAGTTACGTGCTCTGATTGGAATATTGTTGGAGGGAGGTCCAATAGATATTTGTTCGAGGGGAGGATTTTCAAGATGCAACAATGGTCAATATTGGTTATCACATAATGTAATCTGCTATTGAGCACTTTCAGACATATTTGCTCTAAAGAAGAAGAGTTGACTTGGATAAGAGGAAACTTCTAAATTGATTGATGACTATTTGTGGAAAGACTTGGTGGTCTTTTTATTTTATGGGAGAATGGTTAAGAAAGCAAACAACGAGGGAAAGATCCATAGTATAAGAAAAGGATGTTTCGCTTAGTATAGGTCTTTTGGGTGAAACTAAAAATAAATTCGTGGGCTCAAGCCCAAAGTGAATAATATCATCACCATTGTGAAAAATGGGAGTCCGTTGGCCTAACATAGCGTGAAGTCCCTCCTAAATGTAAATCTTCACAAAGGTGCTCTTTTATTGATTCTAAGTTGCCATTGGGTTGGTAAAGATAAATATCTTCTTTTTTGCTCTTTTTGGTAAGAAACGAGTATTTCATTGATGATATGAAATATACAGAAGGCCATGAGGGTAAGTTACAAGAACGCCTTCCAATTTGTGGCAAGGTCGTTTAGTGTGTAACTATTGAAAGGAGAGTAGAAGCATTTACACCATCCTAGAGCTAATATAATAACTCTATTAAAAGATAAATATCATAACAAGAAAGATTTTCTGCTGGGGGCATTATACCCATGACGTGATGACAGATTTCAAAGAGGTCTCCCTCTGTTACCCTCATAAGTATCTGCTAGATTAAGACGGAAAGTGAGTCACTTAGGGCCCGTTTGGTAACATTCCCGTTTCTTGTTTCTCGTTTCTAATTTTCTTAAGAAATCAAAGTATTTTACAACTAACTTTGTTTCTTGTTTCTCCATTTTTGGGAACATTCTCATGATTGTATAGAAATTTTAGGAACAATCAAAACAAGTTTCTCTTTTCTTGTTCCCATTTCCAATTTGTTCCAAAACATAAATAAAAACATTGTTTTATCATACTTGAATTCTTGGAGGTTGAAACCATGCTAACACATTTTTCTTCATTAAAAATAAAGAAACAGAAACAAGAAATAGGAACGTTACCAAACGAGCCCTTAATTACCTCTTCATCCACTAGTGTCGTCTTACTAATTGGATGGACTTCCCCCGGATGGACTTTCCCCCTTAGATGTTTGAAACGCTCTTTTCATTTTTTAGTAACCACACATTCAAAGACAAAACAACCCTTTGTTTCATTGGTAGAACATCATAAGGGCATCATAAGAGCCTTCCTTTGTGAGCTCGAAATAAAGGAAATAATAGAAGTTTGTTTGTTTGTTTGTGTTTTTTTTTTTGTTTTTTTTTTCTCTCTTTTTTGAACTATAGAAGTTTCTGGACATGCATCATAATAGCCTGTCTTTACACTAGTTGCTATTTTCTTTTGTAATTCCTTTTAGTCTTTCTGGGAGCTTTTGCTCCCCCCTCCCTTATAATTTAGTTTATCAACAAACTTGTTTCTTATTAGATTTGTAAAAGTTAGTACCTTTCATAAGTAGTGGGGTTTATGTAGCCATGAGATTGGCATTAATTATATAGTCTGAAATAAGTAACACTAAATATTGGTTCAACTTCTCAACTCCAGGTTACCTATACGCCTCCAACATGTTTTTACAAACTTCTTCTTTATCTACTTCCACATTGGAAGTCGATGAATTGTAATTTAGGTGGTTACACAGAATTTCAATGGAATAAATTTTTGAATACCAACGAGAGATCAAATGAATTTGTGAGTGCTAGTTGATTAAAAAGTTTATAAACATATGTGGGGTATGGGGATGTCTTAGAAATGGATGGGAAATTCTAATTGTTGTCATAAGTTGGTTTTTTTATTACAACAAATGTGGGGTGTGGGGGTTTGAACCTTCGATCTAAAGGAAAGGAGTAGATGTTATTATCACTTAGTTGTGCTCATGCTTGCTATAAGTTGGTTCATTAGTATCGTACTAGTTATTTAATTTTTAAATAATGTAAGATCAGATCATAATTTTTATAAGATCAATTAAGGAGCAAGTAACCTAGTCCACTATGAGGCCACCAACAGTGAATACTTATGTTAGAAAGGGCAAAGGGGTAAAATCCCCTGGGGAGGGTTAGTTAACCTTATGTGGTTAGTGCTGGGTTAGCTTAGTCCTTATATAGTTTTGTGTGGGCTGTTTAGATGCTTATGCTTTTGATGATTGTTGTAATCCAATAGACTTGGAGAGCTCTCAACCCTCTCGAATCGGTTGAGTCTGTGTAGGCCAAGAGCCATTTCGATATTTTTATTATCAATTAGTAAGGGAATACCTTACAAATTGGTATCAGAGCCTTACATCCCGGGAAATCAACAAAAATGATGCAAAGGAAGTTGGAAGAACGTTGCGAACAAAATGAGGAGATGGAAGGGATAAAGGAGATGTTGGTTAAAATGTCGCAACAGATGGAGGAACAAGGGAAGGCGGTTGCGATTCTGGTTTTCGAGATATCCGGAGTCAAGACACGTACGGCCATGTCTGGCAATGGTGAAAGTTTGAGCCAAGAAAGGAAGTTCTGCGACGAAGGTGAAGAACAAGGAGGCTCTTCCGGGGGAAAGACGAACCCATAAAAGGGCGAGAAAGGAGCATACGACCGAATCAAGTTTAAAAAAGTCGAGATGCCAATCTTTTCAGGGGACGACCTAGATGGATGGTTGTTTCGAGCCGAGAAATACTTTGAGATACACGGCCTGATCGATATAGAGATATAGAGAAGGTAACCGTGGCTGTAATCAGCTTCGAAGGAGTGACAATATCGTGGTACAGGTGGGAGTCGAGAGAACATGATTTTAAAAGTTGGGACGAACTGAAAATCAGAATTTTCGTGCGTTTCCGGCCGACAAAAGAAGGAAGTTTGTGTGCTAGATTCCTGTCTATTCGGCAAGAGGGAACGGTGGCGGAGTATCATCGAACGTTCGAAGAGTGGGCAGCTCCGGTACGAGGGTTGACTGACGAAGTCTTGGAGAGCACGTTTACGAACGGTCTTCATCCGTTGATTAGGGCTGAGGTCTTGAGTAGAGAGGTTCCTGGGCTTAAGCAAACTATGAGGGCGGCCCAATTAGTGGAGGACCGAAATATAGCAATGCAGTCCTACGGCGACCCAACCACAGGTCCACAAAACCCACCCCAAACATACTCCTACTAAAATCGCAAATCCTAACCCTAATCCAACAACTCGACTTATAACCCTACCAAGCAAGACGACAGGAGTATCATTTTCACCTACATCGCGCAAGGATCATAATTTCAAAAGGTTGTCGGAAACGGAATATCTCTCGTGCAAGGAAAAGGGGCTGTGTTTTCGCTGCGACGGAAAATATTCAGTGGGTCATCGCTGTAAGAATCAGGAACTTCGGGTCCTCATGGCTCATGACGATGAAATCAACAGGTCAGAAGGTGGGGATGTCGAAGGAGGAACAGAACCAACGGAGGAGGTCGGAGAGATAGTAGAGTTGTCTCTAAATACGGTGGTCGGGTTCTCGATGCTGGGTACGATGAAGTTAAAAGGAGAAATTAACCAGACCGAGGTAGTAGTGCTGATGGATTGTGGTGCGACACACAATTTAATTGCTCAGAAGTTGGTCAAAACCCTAAACCTGCTGACAGCAGACACGCTAAACTACAGAGTCATCATGGGAACGGGAGTGGCCGTGGAAGGGCGGGTTATTTCGCAAGGGGGTAATGTTGAAGCTCCAAGAACATACTGTAAATGAAGATTTTTTGCCTCTTGATTGTCTTGGGAATGCAATAACTTTCTAC